GCCAGCATGGCTCAGCTTGGAATCCTCTCCCTTTCCCCTCAGCATGGCTGGCTCAGGAATTCTGGGAGTTGAAGTCCACAAGTCATAAAAGGGCCAAGGTTGCCTACCCTTGACCTAGATTATTGGGGAGGCAACAGGCTGACTCTGTAAACCGCTTGGAGAGGAATATAAAGCACTGTGAAGCGGTATATAAGTTTAAGTGCTATTGCTACCAGCATGGCTATCTGTCACCTATATATATCATCTATCTATGGTCTATCTACAATATCTATCATTGTCTGTCTGTCTTTATCGTCTATCTACAATATCTATCATTGTCTATCTACTGTCTACAATATCTATCATTGTCTGTCTCTGTCTTTATCTATCTTTCTATCTCAAGAGCCCTGGTGGCGCAGTGCTTAGAATGCAGTATCGCAGGCTGACTACTCCCTGTCAGCCGTTCAATCCTGACTGGCTGAAGGTTGATTCAGCTTCCCATCCTTTCGAGGTCAGTAAAATGAGGACCCCAGATTGTTGGGGGTGATATGCTTAGAGAGAGCTGTAAAGCACTGTGAAGCGGTATATAAGTCTAAGGCAGTGGTTCTCAACCTTTTTAATGCCGCGATCCCCAACCGGTCATAAGTCGAGGACTACTCCACCGGTCGTAAGTCGAGGACTACTCAACTGGTGCAGCACCGTTTGCAGAATGGGACTTTTGGCAGGCTCAGCAGGGCAGAGACAGCCTGGACAATTCCTATTGGCTTTTGAAAGCCAATAGAATTAGACTCTATTCAAGAAAGTCTATTCTATTGGCTTTCAAAAGCCAATAGAATAAAAGGGAGTAGCACAGCTAAGGAAAAGGGGGAAAAAATGGCGGACTGCATTGTTTGGCAACCCCCGTGAAATGGTCGTTCGACCCCAAATTGGGTCCCGATCCACAGGTTGAGAACCACTGGTCTAAGGGCTATTGCTAACTATCATCTATCTGTCTGTCTATCTCTACAGTATCTATCATCCATCCATCCATCCCTACAGTTATCTCTCTATCCGTCCATCCATCTATCTATCCATCATCTTTCCATCTCAAGAGCCCTGGTGGCGCAGTGCTTAGAATGCAGTATTGCAGGCTGACTGCTCCCTGCCAACAGTCCAATCATGACTAGCTCAAGGTTGACTCAGCCTCCCGTCCTTCTGAGGTCGGTAAAATGAGGACCCCAAATTGTTGGGGGCGATATACTTAAGAGACGGCTGTAAAGCACTGTGAAGCGGTATATCAGTCTAAGTGCTGTTGCTGTTTGTGTAGAACAGGGATGTCCAATCTTGGCCACCTTAAGACCTGTGGACTTTAATTCCCAGAATCCCCTAGCCAGCCATGGGAGTTGAAGTCCACAAATCTTAAAAGTAGCCAGGATTGGATACCCCTGGTGTGTCATTACTGAGGTAGTTTTGGAGTCCACGCTTCTGTATTGTTTAAGCCAGTGTTAGGCAACCTTGGCCCTTTTATGACTCGTGGACTTCAACTGCCAGAATTCCTGAGCCAGCCATGCTGAGGGGACAGGGAGAGGTTTCCAAGCTGAGCCATGCTGGCTCAGGAATTCTGGGAGTTGAAGTCCACCAGTCATAAAAGAGCCAAGGTTGCCTACCCCTGGCATAAGCCAACCTACTAACACAGGGACAGGCTTAAGTGATGAAGCTTGAATGCAAAGATTGCTTGCTTTGCAGGTTGAGCCAAATTTGTGCTCCTCACGTCCCTCGTGTTCTATGAGTCAATCGTTCATTTTGCCCTTCTCTATGCAGCCGAATGGAGCTCTTTCAGCTGAAGGCACTAGGCCAGTGATGGCAAAACTTTTAGAGACCGAGTGTCCAAAAAGTGGCCCTGCCTCTGCCCCACCCCCTGCCCTGCCCCGCTCTGCCCCCCTATTCCCCGCCCCACCTGCCCACAGGACCACTCACGGCCTCCAGGGCCCGCCGCAGATCACCCAGTCAGCGCAGCAGCACTATGGCGGCCACACCCTCTGCGCCCTGCAGCATCAACTGCATGATGGGCTGTGAGGGCAGAGTCTTGTCAACGCTGCCTGGTTGCGATGTCCTTGGCTGCGCTGCTTTGTGTGGGCCACGCTCAGGGGTGACTCCTTAAGGGAGGCTGCTGGAGAGGAGGGGGTCACGGGGGGAGGCAAGGGTGGGGCAACAGCACGTGTGCCCACAGAGGGCTCCGAGTGCCACCTCTGGCACCCGTGCCCTAAGTTCGCCACCACTGCGCTAGGCCAACGATGGCAAGAGTCAAAAATTTAGAAAATGCCTAACTTCATTCCACTGACATGTCTCGCACACATAAAAAAACGATCTTAAAAACATTCTCACAAATGAAGACAAATCTACGTGTCCCCGGATAACGTTACAGGATCCAATCCTGGTTGGTCCCCAGGACCAGAGATTTAGTCTTCCAAGCTTTTTGGACTCGTACTGGAGCCCATCCTCAGGAACTTCTCTCTAGCAGAGCACATGCTTTCACGTTTTCCCTCTGGCATTTATATGGTGCCTGTTACGTGTAGCTTTTTAGTTGTTGATTGGGGTGTTGATTACTGTCGTGGTTCCCTTTGATGGATCCAACAAAGTATAAGCATAGCTAAGAAAATCCAATCATTGAGCAAATTATATGGGCACAGATGAAAGGAAAAACCAAATGTACAGGTATAGTATAGGGGGTACCTTGCTCAATAGTAGTAACTGTGAGAGGGATCTCGGAGACCTAGTGGACGATCCCTTAGATAGGAGCCAGCCGTGTGCTGCAGCTGCCAAAAAGGCCAACACAGTGCTAGGCTGCATTAACAGGGATAGAATCAAGATCACGTGAAGTGTTAATACCACTTTACAATGCCTTGGTAAGGCCACACTTGGAATCCTGCATCCAGTTTTGGTCATCACGATGTAAAAAAGATGCTGAGACTCTAGAAAGAGTGCAGAGAAGAGCAACAAAGATGATCAGGGGACTGGAGGCTAAAACATATAAGGAACAGTTGCTGGAATTGGGGATGTCTAGTTTAATGAAGAGACGGACCAGGGGGGACAGGATAGCAGTCTTCCAGTATCTCGGGCTGCCCCAAAGAAGAGGGAATCAAGCTATTCTTCAAAGCACCTGAGGGCAGGACAAGAAGCAACAAATGGAAACTAACCAAGGAGAGAAGCAACCTGGAACTAAGGAGAAACTTCCTGACAGTGAGAACAATTAACCAGTGGAACAACCTGCCTCCAGAAGCGGTGAATGCTCCAACACTGGAGGTTTCTAAGAAGAGACTGGACAGCCATTTGTCCGAAATGGTATATGGTTTCCTGCCTTGCAGGGGGTTGGACTAGATTACCTCCAGGGTCCCTTCCAACATTATTATTATTAAGACCACTGCACACTTTTCCCCTGGCCCAGCCCTGCCCTTGGGATCTCCTGTGTGCCATTTACCTTCAAGTGGGTGTTCTCTTTCTGTTGAGAGGCCCCTTCGCCTATCCAGGGGCTGCTATGGGTCACAAGAGGCCCTTGTTTGTGCCATGGCTTTCAAAGACTGCGGCCCTGAAAAACCACACAAGAAAACACTTGTTTGATTTTGGAGGCCACATGAGAGCACCCCGATGCTCACGGCCATCCACAGCCTCTGAAAATCCCACAAGACCTGCGCCTGTCTTCATACAGCATGCTAGGGCCCAATTATCCCATCTCTCCACACTGGCGGTCTTTCCTACCCCACCAGCCCGAGGACCGCCCTTAAACCTGTCATTTTGTGAGAGAATGGAGCCACTAAGTTAGTGGGTGCCAAATATCTAAACAGGCAAAGGAGAACACCCCACAATCAGAAAGAACAACAGGGCAGTCCTTGACTTAACAACCGTTTTGTTTAATGACTCTTCGAAGTTACAACTGCACTGAAAAAAGTGACTTAGGACTGTTTTTCACGTGGCCGTTGCAGCATCTGCGTGGTCCCGTGACCCGAATTCAGACACGTGCCAGCTGGTTCATATTTACGACGGTTGTAGTGTCCCGGGTTGTGCAGTCCCCTTTTGGGACTTCCGGACGAGCGAAGTCAATGGGGGAAGCCAGATTGACTTAACAGCAGGGTTACTCACTTAACAAGTGCAATGATTCGCTTAATAACAGAAGCAAAAAAAGTCATAAAATGGGGCAAAACTCACTTAACAAATGCTTCTCTTAGCAACGTACATTTTGGACTCGATTGTGGTCGTAAGTCGAGGACTACCTGTAAATATAATATGAAATGAAGAAGCAGATAATTTACCAGTTCATAATACCCCTAGTCCTCAGTTAGTAGCTACTCTGTTTAGTGATGATTCACTTAACAACAGTGTTGGAAAAAGTAGCTATATAACCAGTCCTCAGACCTAATGGCCGGACCGGCGTACCAGTCGCATAATCACCACAGGCGAGCTTCACAGCCGGCTTCCAACAAGCGACGCCAAAGGAAAGGGTACCACCAGGTGCTCCACCAGGTAAGGAAGACTTAAGCCACAAGAGGGGCCTGGCTGGCACAATCTGAGCTATAGGGACTTTTGGTGAACCTAGGAGGATTCGGAACATTCTTCACAAAATAATTAAAAATACGGTGTGCATTATGCCAACGTGTCTTTTAATTCGATGGCCTAGATCAAAGTCTCTCAAACTGAGCAAGATGCAGGGAAGAATGGATAAACAGACTTAAAATAAATAACGATTGTCCATAAACAGGCTTCGTTTAGCTTAAGGGGCACAAACACCAATAGTGGAAAAAAAGCTTATTAGTGCATAAATTTAAGTGAATAAACTTTCTTAAACACATTGCAAATCTTTGATAATAATAGGCAATGATTTATACCAGGAGCGTCCAACTCGGCAGCTGGAAGACCTGCGGACTTCATCTCCCAGAATTCTCCAGCCAGCACGGCTGGCTGGAGAATTCTGGGAGATGAAGTCCGCAGGTCTTCAAGCTGCCAAGATTGGATTCTCCTGATTTATGCAGTAGTTTCATTGGCCCAGACTTTGCAAAAGTCTTCCTCCTCCTGCATCTGAAACAAATTGTCCAGCTTATGTGAAAAATGCATTGTTGGAGGAATAGTAATATAACCTACTGTATGTGGGCAGGGATATACAGCAGCTGGGCCCGTCGGCGTCCAACGAGTCAGCCACAATTAGCGTCAAACAAGCCTGTGCAAGATCCCTCTAGGTATTCTGGTTTATTTTTGCCTTTAGCCACGAAGCTCTGAATCGGTCAGATTTTGACTTGCAGGAGAGGGGAAAAAGCTTCAGAGTCCATGATTTTTTTCTGGTACTTCAATTTACCTTTCTGGAACCTGCTTCTTTCCCAAATGACTTGTTCAGGTAGGGGTTTTTTTTATATTTTCTTTGGCAAAGAGACAGCTTCCTTTGATCTCTGCAAAATTCGCTCTGATGATTTGGGGCCCGAGACCAAGTTACGTGCTGATTCGTGTTAGGAGCTGCCCAGGACTTTTAGAAATTGTGTTCTTGTTGACCAAAATTTTGTTTCTAAGGATTTCTTTTAAGGTTATTTAGAAGATCTTGCCAAGATTCAGGAACTGTAAAATGGAGTTCCGTTGCGGGATTTCAAGGTTAAAATGAGGAATCTCAAAACTGTCGACCTTCCTTCAGATTTTTTTTTTTTTTCATGCTTCCGGCATTGCAGAGTGTGTGTGGTTAATTCTTATACATTTATAAATTCTTATAAAATCACCCCTCTGACTTTCAGGGCTAAGGTGGGTCTCCCACTTTCTAGCTTGGGGCTTTATCCACTAACTAACCAAAGTGGCTCTATATGAAATGTTTCAACGGGCTCTGTATGAAGTATGTGATATGGGTGACTCTCTAAATTGGAGGAAGGGAGAAAGAGACAAAGGGAGGAAGAGAAAAAAGAAGGGAAAGAGGGAAAGGGAGGGACGAAGAGAACTGGAGGAAGGAAGGAAGAAAGGAAAAGAAAAAGAAAAAAGATGAAAGCGACGGGAGAGAGGGAAGGAAAGAAACTAGAGGAAGGAAGGAAGGAAAGAAAGAAAGAAAGAAAGAAAGAAAGAAAGAAAGAAAGAAAGAAAGAAAGAAAGAAAGAAAGAAGAAAAAAGATGAAAGCGAAGGGAGAGAGGGAAGGAAGGAAACTAGAGGAAGGAAGGAAAGAAAGAGAAAAAGAAAGAAAGAAAGGAAAGAAAGAAAGAAATGAAATGAAAATAAGAGAGGGAGGAAAGGAAAGAAACTAGAGGAAGGGAGGGAGGGAAGGAGGGAAGAGAAAGAAAGAAAGAGAAGGATTAAAGCGAAGGGTGGGAGAGGGAAGGAAGGAAGAAAACTAGAGGAGGGAAGGAAGGAAGGAAAAATGAAAGCAAAGGGAGGAAAAGAGGGAAGGAAAGAAACTAGAGAGAGGGAGGGAGGGGGAGGAAGGAAACAAGGAAAGAAAGAAAGAAACTAGAGGAAGGGAAGGAGGGAGAAAGGAAGGAAGGAAGGAAAAATGAAAGCGAAGGGAGGGAAAGAGGGAAGGAAAGAAACTAGAGGGAGGGAGGGAGGAAGGAAGGAAAGATAGAAAAATGAAAGCAAAAGGGAGGCAGAAGGAAAGAAACTAGAGGGAGGGAGGGAGGGAGGGGGGAGGAAGGAAGGAAAGAGAAACTAGAGGGAGGGAGGGAGGAAGGAAGGAAGGAAGGAAGGAAGGAAGGAAGGAAGGAAAGATAGAAAAATGAAAGCGAAAGGGAGGCAGAAAGGGAGGGAAAGAAACTAGAGAAAGGAAGGAAGGAAGGAAGGGCCCTTCCAACCCTCTGCTTCTCTTACTGCCGAAGCAAGTGAAGCCAGCCCCGGCCGAGCGTTGGTCAAGTCTCCAGAGCGTCTTTCTTACGACCGAGCAGCTTTGGAGAAGATGCACCGGGAAGTGAGGCGAGGAGAGCGGAGATCCCTGTGGTTGGAATTCCGCGCATTGCAAAGGTTTGGTTGCTGCCGTATAGGATCCGTGGGCCTTAGTCATCTTGATAATAAATCATACAAGCCACTGTTTAATGGTGTGCTGTGATAAACCCTTTTTCAGGAGCTTCAGGTTGCATCTCTGGAGGGACATGAGTGTTTTTGTTGAGGATGTTGAGATTGTGATGAACGACACCTCCGAACCCGCCGATGTCTCTTTCGTTTATTCAGGCACCCTACAAGGTGAAGTCTTTTTGAGAAGAGATCCTGTCCTTTCTTCTCTCCCTTTATTATTCATTCACAGAATTTATATATCCATCACTCTCCTTTCCTCCCCTCTCCTCATCCATTTGCTCTCTTCCCTTCCCTTCCCTTCCCTTCCCCTCCTTTCTCTTTCCTTCCCTTTCCTTTCCCTCCTCTTTCCTTTCCTTTCCCTTCCTTTCCTTCTCTTTCCTTCCCTTCCCCTTCCCCTTCCTTTCTTTCCATTCCCTTCTCTTTCCTTCCCCTTCCTTTCCTTCCCTTTCCTTCCCCTCCCTTCTCTTTCCTTCCCCTTCCTTTCCTTCCCTTTCCTTCTCTTTCCTTCCCCTTCCCCTTCCTTTCTTTCCATTCCCTTCTCTTTCCTTCCCCTTCCTTTCCTTCCCTTTCCTTCCCCTCCCTTCTCTTTCCTTCCCCTTCCTTTCCTTCCCTTTCCTTCCCTTTCCTTTCCCTCCCTTCTTTTTCCTTCCCTTTCCTTCCCTTCCCTTCTCTTTCCTTTCCTTCCCTTCCGTCCCTCCTGCCTTCTGCCCTCCCCTCCACCTTCCTCTCCCCCTCACTCCCTTCCCCTTCCTTTCTTCCCTCCTTCCTTCCTTCCTTCCTTCCTCCCTCCCCTCCGTTCTCTTCCCTTTCCTTCCTTCCCTCCTCTCCCCCTGTCCCCTCCCCCTTCCCATGTTCATCCAATCCTTTCTAAATAAAGCTTCTACCAGGAGCCCTTAAAGAAGTATTGAAAATTTCCTTGCAAGCCTGCGTCGTTCTCACCTGGTCATGGAGTTTCCGTGTTGATTTAAACCCAATTTATGGGGTTGGGGATTTGCACAGCTGAGAGGGCTCAGGGCAGCTTCCCCTGCTGGAGAAACCCAGGTCATGTTTATGCAGGCTCCTGCAAAGCTGCACCCCTTTTCTGGCTTCCTGGGTGTGTGATGGTTCTGCTTCAGCTTTATCTGACTGGACTTTTGGACAGGAGACGCAGCTTCTTTCTGCCACGGCTCCATCATCCACGGTGTCTTTGAGGGATTCGTCCAGACCCAGAACGGTACCTATTACATTGAATCTGCTGCTGTGGTCAAAGGGGCCCCCGAGACCCATTCCCTGATCCACCACCAGAGAGACCTAGGTGAGAACATCAAACACTGCAAGCGTCAAGCCCCCCCCCCTGTTCCCTCCCAAAGGACCAGTTTCCTTCAGCAGGTCAAATGAGTTGACATTTCCTTTCCGACAGAAGAGAGGAACAGGAGCTGGAACACTTGCGCCAACTATGCTCCCCAGGGTTCAAGGCCTCCGAAAGTGGCCATTAAACTGTAATTTTAACAAGGCAGAAAGGGGAGCCTTGTGAAATCTTTAGCAAATAAAGACTTCAGTTGGGAGGGAGGGAGGGAGGGAGGGAGAGAGAGGGAGGAATGAAAAATGAGAACGAGAAGGAAGGAAGAAGGGAGGGAGGAAAGGAAGGAAGGAAGGAAGGAAGGAAGGAAGGAAGGAAGGAAAAATGAAAGTGAAAGTGAAAGGGAGGGAGAGAGGAATGAAGGAAGAAACTAGAGGAAGGAAGGAAGGAAAAATGAAAGTGAAAGAGGAAAGAAGGAAGAAACTAAAGGAAGGAAGGATGGAAGAAAGGAAGGAAAAATGAAAGTGAAGGGAAGGAGAGAGGAAAGAAGGAAGAAACTAGAGGAATGAAGGAAAGGAAGGAAAAATGAGTGAAAGAGAGGAAAGAAGGAAGAAACTAGAGGAAGGATAGAAGGAAGGAAGGAAGGAAGGAAGGAAGGAAGGAAGGAAGGAAGGAAGGAAGGAAAAATGAAAGTGAAGGGAAGGAGAGAGGAAAGAAGGAAGAAACTAGAGGAATGAAGGAAAGGAAGGAAAAATGAGTGAAAGAGAGGAAAGAAGGAAGAAACTAGAGGAAGGATAGAAGGAAGGAAGGAAGGAAGGAAGAAAGGAAGGAAAAATGAAAGTGAAGGAAAGGAGGAAAGAAGGAAGAAACTAGAGGAAGGAAGGAAGGAAGGAAAAATGAAAGTGAAGGGAAGGAGAGGAAAGAAGGAAGAAACTAGAGGAAGGAAGGAAGGAAGGAAGGAAGGAAGGAAGGAAGGAAGGAAAAATGAGTGAAGGGAGGGAGAGGAAAGAAGGAAGAAACTAGAGGAAGGAAGGAAGGAAAGAAAAATGACGGTGAAGGGAGGGATAGAGGAAAGAAGGAAGAAACTAGAGGAAGGAAGGAAGGAAGGAAGGAAGGAAGGAAGGAAGGAAGGAAGGAAAAATGAAAGTGAAGGGAAGGAGAGAGGAAAGAAGGAAGAAACTAGAGGAAGGAAGGAAGGAAGGAAGGAAGGAAGGAAGGAAGGAAGGAAGGAAGGAAGGAAGGAAGGAAGGAAGGAAGGAAGGAAGGAAAAATAATGGTGAAGGGAGGGATAGAGGAAAGAAGGAAGAAACTAGAGGAAGGAAGGAAGGAAGGAAGGAAGGAAGGAAGGAAGGAAGGAAGGAAGGAAGGAAAAATGAAAGTAAAGGGAGGGAGAGAGGAAAGTAGGAAGAAACTAGAGGAAGGAAGGAAGGAAGGAAGTGTCATGGAAAAACCCAATGAAAAAGACAAGAGACAGCAACACAAAACAATCATTCTTACTTTAAGATTTAGAGGTTCGTTTCAGCAATAATCTGGAACACACACAGAAACATCACTTACGTTAAAAATCCATTGCAATGCGGTCCAGTGACACAGCAGGTCTAGCAAGGACAGCTATAGGACAATGGCAAATCAATCAGGTCCAGTCCCAACTTTTTATACCCTTTCTTACCCTAAGACCGTAGACAGATGATCAGCAAACTTACACTTTAGGCCAGACATGTCAAACACAAGGCCCGGGGGCCAGATGCGGCCCGCGAAGTGTTTTCATGTGGTCCGCGAAGCCATTCTGGAAACAGTGAGGGAACGGCCCCCTCTGCCTTGGCCCTGGCCCAGGCCAGCTGGGAGCCAATGTACAATTTTGTGGTGGCCATCTATGCTGAAACGCATTCAGTCTTAGCTCCATAAGCCCCCCCCCCCGCATGGCCTGAGAGGATCCTCCAGTGGACCATGCCTTGGCACTTGCCCCGGTCCCACCCCCTTCTGCCAGATGGATAGATCTGCCCAGGCCCCCACAGGCACCCCACAATCACAATCAGGCCGGCCATGAGCCATGGTACGATTTTGTTGTGGCCATCTATGCTGAAACACATTCAGTCTTAGCTCCATAAGCCCCCCCCCCACATGGCCTGAGAGGATCCTCCAGTGGACCATGCCTTGGCACTTGCCCCGGTCCCACCCCCTTCTGCCAGAGACCCTCAGATGGATAGATCTGCCCAGGCCCCCACAGGCACCCCACAATCACAATCAGGCCGGCCGTGAGCCAAGGTACGATTTTGTTGTGGCCATCTATGCTGAAACACATTCAGTCTTAGCTCCACAAGGCCGTCTGGAAACAGTGAGGAACCAGACCTTGCCGCGTCGTCCCCATCCCCTGGGTGCATGCTGGGGAGGTGTCACCCTTTGTGAGGAATGAAGAAATGCACCATAGCTTGGAAGTGGCCAGCTAATGGCCCTCGCCTACTTCACATATCCGGCTTGATGGGCTCTACCCTGGTCCCACCCTTCTGCCAGAGACCCTCAGATCTATCCCACTCCTGCCCAGGCCCCCACATGCAACCTTGACGCGAACGATGTAGAGCTGGCCATGCCCACCCAGTAGGCCACACCCTCTCCATCCACGCCCACCCAATAGGCCGCACCCACCCTGGCCACACACACACACACACACACACACACACACAAACACACACAAAAACACACAAACACACACAGAGGGCAACCGTAATGCTGATGCGGCCCTCAATGAAATTGAGTTTGACACCCCTGCTTTAGGCTGACTTTCTGCTGAACTCTGACATAACTTACCACATACTTGTGCACATTGGAACCTGCATCCATCAGCTCCTTTCAGTTCCCTGTTTCTTACAGTTCCAGTCTTTGTGTTCTAAATATATTTAAAACAAGCAAGCTCAGCAAAATCATATTAAGTAATCTACAGCTGCAAATTGCAAAATTAAGCATAGCACAGACTTTGGTTCAATACTTTTTCCATGAGGCGAGGCCTGATTTAGTTCACCTGGGCCTAGCCAATATGTTCGTTTTCCACAGAAGGAAGGAAGGAAAAATGAAAGCGAAGGGAGGACAAGAGGAAAGAAGGAAGGGAACTAGAGGAAGGAAGGAGATGAAAAGCAGGGAGGAAGGAAGAAGAGGGAGGGAGAGAGGAAGGAGATGAAAAGCAGGGAGGAAGGAAGAAAAGAAGAGGGAGGGAGGAAAGGAAAGAAAGAAAGAAAGAGAAAGAAAAAGAAAGAGAGAAAGAAAGAAAGAAAGAAAGAAAGAAAGAGAAAGAAAGAAAGAAAGAAAGAAAGAAAGAAAGAGAAAAAAGAAGGAAGGAAGGAAGGAAGGAAGGAAAGAAGGAAGGAAGGAAGGAAGGAAGGAAGGAAGGAAGGAGATGAAAAGCAGGGAGGAAGGAAGAAGGAGGGAGGGAGGAGATAAAAAGCAGGAAGGAAGGAAGAAAAGAAGAGGGAAGGAGGAAAGGAAAGAAAGAAAGAAAAAGAAAGAGAGAAAGAAAGAAAGAGAAAGAAAGAAAGAGAAAGAAAGAAGGAAGGAAGGAAAGAAAGAAAGAAAGAAAGAAAGAAAGAAAGAAAGAAAGAAAGAAAGAAAGAAAGAAAGAAAGAACCCCAGGACAGAACACAGATGATGTATCTTGCAGATTATAAACTTCTCCACGACTCCAAATCAGCATCCTTGGCTCAGACACTGCACCAACAACTGCAAGATTTCCAGCGGCAGCTAACAGCAAAGGTAAAAAGCATCCATCGCTAACCATACACAGGTAGTCCTCGAGTTACAACAGTGCATTTAGATACAACATGACTGAAAAGGTTACTGATCAGCCTTTTCCACACTTACGACCGTCGCAGCATCCCCTACGGTCATGGCATAAAAATTCAGACGCTTGGCAACGGACTCATATTTATGACGGTTGCAGCGTCCCGGGTTCACGTGATCCCCTTTTACGACCTTCTGACAAGCCAAGTCAATGAGGGGAAGCCAGATTCACTTAACAACCGTGTTACTGGCTTCACAACGGCAGCGATTCGCTTAACTACGGCAGCAAGGGAGGCCGTAAAAGGAGGGCAAAACTCAGTTAACAAATGTCTCACGTAGCAACGTAAATTTTGGGGCTTGGTTGTGGTCGTAAGTCGAGGATTACCTTGAGGCTGGTCTTATGTAACTCAGCCTCTGATACGTCTCCTCACCTTCTTTGGCTCCAGGTATAAATGATTCCTTCCCTTGCCTACCTGCTCCATGGTTTCCCCACAGGCCAATCACCCTCATCGGCCCAGGAGGAGTTTGAATTATTCGAAAACTTCCTGCCTGCTTCATTTTCAAGCAGACCACCTTTTCTATCGACGGTTTGGCTCTGTGGAAGCCGTGATCGCCCAGGTATACAAAGTCTCTTTTTTTAAAAAAGAAAAGAAAAGAAAAGTATGAACGGGAGGGTCTATGGAGGTTCTCAGTCATCCTGGTCATGATTGTCCCAAAGGTAATAATAATAATAGTAGTAGTAGTAGTAGTAGTAGTAGTAGTAGTAGTAGTAGTAGTAATAATAATAATAATAATAATAATAATAATAATAATAATAATAATTGGCTGCACAAGACCAAGCCTTAAGGACAAATGCATACAAAGTCAAAATTGAGAAGACAGCAACAGACAGTAAGTGCCGCCTATGCAAAGAAGCTGAAGAAACAGTGGACCACTTGGTAAGCTGTTGCAAGAAGATTGCACAAACTGATTACAAGCAGCGGCATGACAAAGTACAACAATGGTGCATTGGAAGATCTGCAAAAAATATCATTTGCCTGTAAGCAAAAACTGGTGGGATCATAAAATAGAGAAAGTCATAGAAAATGATAAAATTAAACTGCTCTGGGACTTCAGAATTCAAACAGACAAGCACCTGCAACATAACAACCCAGACTTAACAATTGTCGATAAGAAAGACACAAAAGTCTGGATAGTGGACGTGGCAGTGCCTGGAGATAGCAGAATAGAAGAGAAAGAACTGGAGAAGATAACAAAATACAAAGACCTACAAATAGAAATAGAAAGACTGTGCAAAAGCAAGCAAGGGTAGTACCAATAGTCATAGGCTCCTTGGGTGCAATCCCAAAACAACTGGAGCACCACTTGAACACCATTGGCATTGACAAATTCGCTATTCGTCAATTGCAAAAGGCGGCCTTACTAGGAACTGCTTCCATCCTGCGACGATACCTGTAATACCATCAAACATCCACATCTTCCTATCCCAGGTCCTGGGTAAGGACTCGATAGGTAGACAAAATGCCAAATCCAGTCTGAACATCTGGCTGACTGTGCGATGATCGATAATAATAATAATAATAATAATAATAATAATAATAATAATAATAAAGTTGGAAGGGACTTTGGAGGTCATCTAGTCCAACCCCCTGCTCAGGCAGGAAACCCTATACCATTTCAGACAAATGGCTGTCCAGTCTCTTCTTAAAACCCTCCAGTGTTGGAGCATTCTCTGCTTCTGGAGGCAGGTTGTTCCACTGGTTAATTGTTCTCACTGTCAGGAAATTACTCCTTAGTTCTAGGTTGCTTCTCTCCTTGATTAGTTTTCACCCGTTGCTTCTTGTCCTGCCTTCAGGCGCTTTGGAGAATAGCTTGACTCCCTCTTCTTTGGGGCAGCCCCTGAGATATTGGAACACTGCTATCATGTCCCCCCCTCATCCTTCTCTTCATTAAACTAGACATACCAAATTGCCCTGGATTGATCCCCAATGTCATACATAACCTATAACCCAGTGGTGGTGAACCTATGGCACGGGTACCAGAGGCGGCACTCAGAGCCCTCTCTATGGGCACACGCGCCGTCGCCCCAGTCCTAGGCCTTCAGCTGGGTTTTATAAAACCTTTTCGCTTTAGGCCTCCGCCACTGTGTATAAAAAAAAAAGGTTCAATCAATCAGTCAATTTCAACTTCTCGTAGGAAAAAAAAGATCTTGCAAAGTTGGAATTGATTGATTGAACTTTTTAGTCCCACCCAGTCTGCCGTTACCACCGCAGCCACGCCCACCCAACGGGCCACACCCACCCAATGGGCCACGCCCACCGGCACCCGACGATGCATAAGTGGGTTTTAGGTTGCAGTTTGGGCACTCGGTCTCTAAAAGGTTCGCCATCAGTGGTCTAGGTTGCTTCTCTCTTTGGTTAGTTTCCATCTGTTGCTTCTTGTCCTGCCTCCCGGCACTTTGGAGAATAGCTTAACTCCCTCTTCTTTGGGGCAGCTCCTGAGATACTGGAATACGGCTATCATGTCCCCCCTGGTCCTTCTCTTCATTAAACTAACATCCTCAATTCCAGCAACCGTTCCTTATATGTTTTAGCCTCCAGTCCCCTAATCATCTTTGTTGCTCTTCTCTGCACTCTTTCTAGAATCTCAATATCTTTTTTACATCGTGGTGACCAAAACTGGATGCAGTATTCCAAGTGTGGCCTTACCAAGGCTTGTAAAGTGGTATCAACACTTTACATGGTCTTGATTCTCTCCCTCTGTTAATGCAGCCTAGCATTGTGTTGGCTTTTTTGGTAGCTACTTTTTCAGGAGGTAACTGGACTTTCTTGGTTTTTCCTTGAAGACGTTTCACTTCTCATCCAAGAAGCTTCTTCAGTTCTGACTGGATGGTGGGGAATGGAAGGATTTATATTCTTTTAGAGAGTCATTGAGGCCACCTGGAGATTTATCTGTGAGTCAAACATCCAGGTGGCCTCAACAACTCTCTAAAAGAATGCAAATGACCAGCTATCTGCAAGGAGTATAAGTCCTTGTATGAGAAGTGAAACATCCTCAAAGACAAACAAGCGAGTCCAGTTGCCTCCGGAAAAACCACTTTTGGGATGAGAGTCAAGATAAAAGGAGGTGGAGCTAGGACAGGTACCTCTTTGCATAGCCCCGCCTTTGGTGAGTTGCCATGATATTTCTAGGTGGGAGCCTGGGATTTGGCAAAGGATATCCTCTTCGTGGGCATGTCTGTCCCTTCCTGTCATCCTCATCTCTGCGTTTCTGGGGGAGGATAGGCTAATTCTGTAGTTGCATTCACACATGATGCTAAGTGGGCTAGATGGGACTGGATATTAGCAGTGTTCCTCAAGCTTGGCTACTTGAAGTTGTATGGACTTCAACTCCCAGAATTCTCTAGCCAGCATGGCTACTGAGGAATTCTGGGAGTTGAAGTCCATGCGTCATAAAGTTGTCAAGGGCTGACTGAGGGATTCTGGCAGTTGAAGTCCATGCGTCATACAGTTGCCAAGTGTTGGCTGAGGGATTCTGGGAGTTGAAGTGCATGCGTCATAAAGTTGTCAAGGGCTGACTGAGGGATTCTGGGAGTTGAAGTCCATGCATCATAAAGTTGCCAAGGCCTTACTGAGGAATTCTGGGAGTTGAAGTCCATACCTCTTAAAGTGGCCATGGTGGAGAAACACTGAGCTATAGTAACAGAATCTGATGTGTTGTATGACCCTAGGAATCCAAGCATTGTGTGAACCCAGTCAAGCGATATCTCCGGAAATTCTTTTTTTCCTAGATTGCCAGCTATGTAAAAGCTGTGAACGCCATTTACGAAGCGGCTGAATTTGGCCGGATCGGGACCATTGAATTCAAAGTTAAGACGATCACGGTAGGTTGCCATCTCCTTTTGGGTTATGGGGAATTTGCCACTAGGGTTTCCCTTCCTGTTCTGGGATTCTCCCTCTTCTGCAGATCGTCCAAGAAGAAGACCCTTCAAGGACCCCGTTCCTCAGTCCGGAGATGCTGCTTATGCTGCACTCAAAAACCAATTGGGACGGTTACTGCTTATCTTACCTGCTGACCGACCGGGATTACAGTGGCGTCCTCGGAATTGCTTTCAGTGGACAACCAGGTGAGACACCTGCTGGATTCTGATTCCCACAGAAAAAGGTCCTGATGTTGAGCAGCGACAGCTCCTTTGCCTCGCTTAACAAATGTCTCACTTAGCGACCAAAATTATGGGCTCAAGTGTGGTCGTAAGTCAAGGACTACCTGTATCATTTCGGACAAATGACTGTCCAGTCTCTTCTTTAAAAACTTCCAGTGTTGGAGCATTCACCGCTTCTGGAGGCAGGTTGTTCCACTGGTTAATTGTTCTCACTGTCAGGAAATTTCTCCTTAGTTCTAGGTTGCTTCTCTCCTTGACTAGTTTCCACCCATTGCTTCTTGTCCTGCCTTCAGGGGCTTTGGAGAATAGCTTGACTCCCTCTTCTTTGGGGCAGCCCCTGAGATATTGGGATGATGATGATGATGGTGGTGATGATAAAGTTGGAAGGGACCTTGGAAATCATCTAGTCCAACCCCCTGCTCAGGCAGGAAACCCTACACCATTTCGGACAAATGGCTGTCCAGTCTCTTCTTAAAAGTTTCCAGTGTTGGAGCATTTACTGCTTCTGGAGGCAGGTTGTTCCACTGGTTAATTGTTCTGACTGTCAGGAAGTTTCTCCTTAGTTCTAGGTTGCTTCTCTCTTTGGTTAGTTTCCATCCGTTGCTTCTTTCCTTCCTTCAGGGGCTTTGGAGAATAGCTTGACTCCCTCTTCTTTGGGGCAGCCCCTGAGATATTGGAAGACGGCTATGAGACTGATGGATGACACTGATGGAATGATAAGCTGATTCCACATATCTAGAAGACACCAAGTTATGCACTTTTGGGTACCATGTTTCAAGAAAGACTCAGAGAAAGCCCAGTAACTTTAAAAAGAACAAGGTATATGACTGGGACTAGGAACTTGTGTGGGAGAATTAAGAAGCGAATATATTGAGCCTTGAGAATTTGACTGAGGTTCATGTCTAATGAATAAAAGATTAATAATAATAATAATAAAGTTGGAAGGGACCTTGGAGGTCATCTAGTCCAACCCCCTGCTCAAGCAGGAAACCCTATACCATTTCAGACAAATGGCTGTCCAATCTCTTCTTAAAAACTTCCAGTGTTGGAGAATTCACCACTTCTGAAGGCAGGTTGTTCCACTGGCTAATTGTTCTGACTGTCAGGAAGTTTCTCCTTAGTTCTAGGTTGCTTCTCTCCTCGATTTGTTTCCGTCCATTGCTTCTTGTCCTGCCTTCAGGCGCCTTGGAGAATAGCTTGACTCCCTCTTCTTTGGGGCAGCCCCTGAGATACTAGAAGACTGCTATCATGTCCCCTCCAGTCCTTCTCTTCTGAACTTTTACAAAATACAGAGTTGGAAGGGACCTTGGAGGTCATCTAGTCCAACCCTCTGCTCAGGCAGGAAACCCTGTACCAGTGATGGCGAACCTTTTAGAGACCGAGTGCCCAAAACCCGCGCCCCCACCTGTCCCCGCTCCGCCATGCCCGCTGGGCCACCCACCACCTCCACAGCCCACCACAGATCACCTAAGCAGCCCAGCAGCGCCATGGCAGCCACGCCCTCCACCCGTGCATGATGGGGTGCAACGGTGGAGTCTTGTCCCTGATGCCCGGCTACCATGTCCTTAGCTGCACTACTTCACATGGGCAATTCCTGGGGGCAACACTCCTCCGGGGGGCTGCTGGTGAGGAGGGGGCCATGGGAGGAGGCGGGGCTGGAGCAACAGTGCGTGTGCCCACAGAGAGGGCTCCAAGTGCCGCCTCTGGCACCTGTGCCATAAGTTCACCACCCTGGCCCTATGCCATTTCAGACAAATGGTTGTCCAGTCTCTTCTTGAAAACTTCCAGTGTTGGAGCATTCACAACTTCTGGAGGCAGGTTGTTCCGCTGGTTAATTGTTCTAACTGTCTCCTTAGTTCCGGGTTGCTTCTCTCCTTGGTCAGTTTCCATCCATTGCTTCTTGTCCTGCCTTCAGGCACTTTGGGGAATAGCTTGACTCCCTCTTCTTTGGGGCAGCCCCTGAGATACTGGAAGACTGCTATCCTGTCCCCCCTCGTCCTTCTCTTCGTTAAACTAGACATCCCCAATTCCAGCAACCATTCCTCATATGTTTTAGCCTTCAGTCCCCTAATCTTCTTTGTTGTTCTTCTCTGCACTCTTTTTCTAGAGTCTCAACATCATTTTATGTCGTGGCGACCAAAACTGGACGCCATATTCCAAGTCTTACCAAGGATTTTTGGCTGTGCAAGCAGAAGTCTTCACTGGTTCTTTCTTCACTATGATTTTCATTTACAGGAGACTCCGGAGGGATTTGCTCAAAATATCAGCATTTCCTGGAGAAAGAGGCATCTCTGAACACAGGGCTGATCACACTGCAGAAATACGGCCAATTGCTCCCTCCACGGATGATCCACATCACCCTGGCGCATGAATTTGGCCACAGCCTGGGGGCGCAAGTGAGTCTTCCTTTTCTTGGGTGAGGATCCTGTAAATTTTAAAAGATCAGAATCAGAATAGAGCTGGAAGGGACCTTGGAGGTCTTCTAGTCCAGCCCTCTGCTCAAGCAGAAGACCCTATCTATCTATCTATCTATCTATCTATCTATCTATCTATCTATCTATCTATCTATCTATCTATCTATCTACCTACCTACCTATCTACCTACCTACCTACCTATCTATCTATCATCTATTAATCTATCTATCTATCATCTATCTATCATCTATCTTCCTATTATCTATCTATCTATCTATCTATCTATCTACCTATTATCTATCTATCTATCTATCTATCTATCTATCTATCTATCTACCTACCTATCTACCTACCTACCTATCTATCATTTATTAATCTATCTATCTATCTATCATCTATCATCTATCTTCCTATTATCTATCTCTATCTATCTATCTATCTATCTATCTATCTATCTATAGCATCTATATTATCTATTTATCATCTATCTATTATCTATCTATCTATCATCTATATCTATCTATATCTATCATAATATCATCTATATTTTATATCTATTTATCTATCTACCTATTATCTATCTATCTATCTATCTATCTATCTATCATCTATCATCTATATTATCTATCTATCATCTATCTATTATCTATCTATCATCTATATCTATCTATATCTATATAATATCATCTATATTTTATATCTATCTATCATCTATCTACTTATTATCTATCTATCTCTATCTATCTACCTACCTACCTACCTATTATCTATCTATCTATCTATCTATCTATCTATCTATCTATCTATACCTATCATCTATCTATATCTATCATAATACCACGTATATTTTATATCTATCTATCTCATCTATATTTTATCTCTATCATCATCTCTATCTATCTATGTCTATCATCTATATATATCATCTATATCTAATCAGAATCAGAATAGAGTGGAAGGGACCTTGGAGATCATCTAGTCCAGCCCCCTGCTCAAGCAGGAGTCCCTCTATCATTTCAAACAAGTGCCTGTCCAGTCTCTTCTTAAAAACCTCGAGGGATGAAGTACCCACCATTCCATTGGTTAATTGTCCTCACTGCCAGGAAGTTTCTCTTTAATTCCAGGTTGCTTCTCTCCTTGGTTAATTTCCATCCGTTGTTTCTTCTCCTGCCTTCAAGTGCTTTGGAGAATAGCTTGACTCCCTCTTCTTTGGGGCAGCCCCTGAGATACTGGAACACGGCTATCATGTCACCTGCTAGTCCTTCTTTTCTCTAAACTGGCCATTCCCAATTCCAGCAACCGTTCTTCATATGTTTCAGTCTCCAGACCTTTAAGCATCTTCGTTGTTCTTCTTTGCACTTTTTCCAAAGTCTCAACATCTTTGTTGTAGTATGGTGACCAAAATTGGTTGCAGAATTCCAGGTGTGGCCTGACTAAGGCTTTATAAATCCGTACTAATACATCACGTGATTTTGATTCTATGCCTCTGTTTATACAACCCAGGATTGTATTAGCTTTTTTGGCTGCTGCCAAAAGTGATCATCCACTAGGACTCCAAGATCCCTCTCCCAGTTTCTGCTTTTGAGCCAGATTTCCCCTAATCTGTACTTGTACCTTTGTTTTTTTCCTGCCCAGGTGTAAAACTTTGCTTTTCTCCACATTAAATATCGTTTTGTTGGCTAGGGCCCATTGTTCAAGTCTCTCAAGATTTTTTTGGATCCTGAGCTTGTTTTCTGGGGTGTTTAACTCCAGATTGTCTAATTCCAGCCTCAAATATCCACCCTGGTTCTTCCTCTGCAACTTTTTCTTACAGCACGACCAGACCAAAGAATGTTCCCGTTTTGACCTCAACACCAGCCGGGGAAAATTCCTGATGTTCAATTATGCCACAGATGGGACCGAATTCAACAATGATAAATTCTCTCCATGTAGCATCGCCTATATTTCAAATATTCTGGAGCACAAGAAGGACCAATGTTTTGCAGGTTGGACAATCCGAATCGGGTTCGGATCTTTTGTTGTTGAAAAAAAAATCCAGTTTGACGTGTATCCTGAACATTAGATTTTGTGATGAATTGTGATAAAGGGAATTGGGGTTATTTAAAACTCGGAAATTATAAATATTAAAAGTTAAATTTAAATATTAATGGGAAACTAAACATTGGGAAAAACTAACTAGGACATTGCGTATCTAAAAAGATTGAATGTTAAAATAACTAGGATATGTATAAACTCAGAAAGTGAAGAGGAACTAAAGAGCCTCTTGATGCGGGTGAAGAAGGAGAGTGCAAAAGTTGGCTTGAAACTCAGCATTAAGAAAACCAAAATCATGGCATCCGGCCCTCTCAATTCCTGGCAAATAGATGGGGAAGAAATGGAGGTAGTGACAGATTTTATCTTCCTGGGCTCCAAGATCACCTCAGATGGGGATTGCAGCCAAGAAATTAAAAGACGCTGGCTCCTGGGGAGGAAAGCTATGGCAAATCTAGTCAGCATACTAAAAAGCAGAGACATCACACTGCCAACAAAAGTGCGTATAGTCAAGGCCATGGTTTTCCCAGTTGCAATGTATGGCTTTGAAAGTTGGACCATAAGAAAGGCTGAGTGCCAAAGAATTGAGGCCTTTGAACTATGGTGCTGGAGAAGACTCCTGCGAGTCCCTTGGACTGCAAGGCGTTCAAACTGGTCAGTCCTAGAAGAAATCAACCCGGACTGCTCTTCAGAAGGCCAGATCCTGAAGTTGAAACTCAAATACTTTGGCCACCTAAGGAGAAGGAAGGACTCACTGGAGAAGGGCCTAATGTTGGGAAAAATTGAGGGCAACAGAAGGGGACGACAGAGAATGAGATGGCTGGATGGAGTCATTGAAGCAGTAGGTGTGAACTTAAATGGACTCCAGAAGATGGTAGAGGACAGGAAGACCTGGAGAAACGTTGTCCATGGGGTCGCGATGGATCGGACACGACTTCGCAATTAACAACAACAAAATATATAAACTAAAAATTATTTATTTATTTATTTATTTATTTATTTATTTATGAGACTTATATACCGCTTTAAGTGCAAGCACTCTCTAAGCGGTGTACACCAGTAAGCAATGTACATATATATTTACATTGCCCCCAACAATCTGGGTCCTCATTTTACCTACCCCGGAAGGATGGAAGGCTGAGTCAACCTTGAGCCAGTGAGATTTGAACCGCTGACCTGCTGAACACAGTCAGCTAAAGTGGCCTGCAGTACTGATAAATGTAAGAAAGTTATTGTTATTTAATCGATATAATAAGAATTGTATTCATTCAAATATGAAATAGTAAATATCAAGGGGAAAAAAAGAGGAAATATTTAATGTAATAGTTTGAGATCTGTACTAAAGATATTTCTATGTTATTGAATTATTGACCAACTTAGCTGCCACATTGCTTTTCAAATATTTAAATGTAAAACTAGAAAATCAATAACATTTTTCTTTAAAGAAAGAAAGAAAAAATCCAGTTTGAAAGGTTCGATTTCTGGTGGTGGGGAGTTCCAAGGATCCTGGGTTAGTGGCAGTGGCTGAATCAGTTTTTCCAGACTTTGCCACTTTAAGAGATGTGGACTTCCACTCCCTTTGCTGGCTGGGGAATATGGGAGTGGAAGTCCATGCCTCTTAAAGTGGCCATGTCAGGAAAACACTGTTCTGCTACATCCAATTCCTCTCTGTGGCCAATCATTGTCTCTATCCTATAGTCATATAAAGTAGAGTCTTCCTCTGCATGGAAACTCCACTTTGTTGTTCAGAGTGAATTGGAACTAAGGCAGGGGGTCTTCAAACTTAACAACTTTAAAACTTGTGGACTTCAACTCCCAGAATTCCCCAGCCACTCTTCTAGATCAGAGAGTCTTCAAACATGGCAACTTTGAGACTTGTGGACTTCAACTCCCAGAATTCCTCAGCCAGCTAGGAATTCTGGGAGTTGAAGTCCACAAGTCTTCAAGTTGCGAAGTTTGAAGACTCCTGGTGTTATCTAAGCAAGCTTCCCATTGTGGCCAATTTGATGTCAAGCAGGAAGACAATGATCCTTATCCTGTTGTTGGCTGAGAAATATGGGTAGACAACCTCTGCCCATGGCTCCCAACAATGGGAGTTAAAAGGTAGACTTTCTCTGCTCAGGGAAGTTCCACAGTATTTTTCACCAATACCTTTGAGAAGCTGAGAAGCAAGAGATGAAATCAAGTCTCCCTCTTTTTTTTAGCTGGTGGAGTTTGGCAGGTAGACTGCCACAGAGCACAGAGGCTCTACTGTGCCAGTAACGCTCACTGCAGCAGATAGGGGATTGCCTGACTTCTGCTCCGGACCGAATTCCACAGGATCAAGCAACTTTGCAAACTTCTCCCAGGAATAGTACTGATTCCCCTCTTCTCTGTCTTCCTTTCCAGAAACTGACCGTCCCATCTGCGGGAACCAGATCGTGGATCCGGGGGAAGAGTGCGACGTTGGGAGCGACAATGAGGACGCCTGCTGCTACGGCGCTGGGGAGCCAAGGGGGATCCAGTGCCGGTTGAAACCAGGAGCCTCATGCAGGTCACGACGACAAATTGGACTTGTTCGTTTGTTTACATTAATTATGTAATTGTTTAAGAAAATTGATGTGGCTGCCCAACTCACTCTCAGCGACTCACAAAGATACATAGCAACAGCAGAATAACAGAGTTGGAAGGGATCTTGGAGGTCTTCTAGTCCAACCCCCTGCTCAGGCAGGCGATCCTATACCATTCCAGACAAATGGCTGTCCAGTCTCTTCTTAAAAACCTCCAGTGTTGGAGCATTCACAAGTTCTGGAGGCAGGTTGTTCCACTGGTTAATTGTTCTCATTGTCAGGAAATTTCTCCTTAATTCCAGGTTGCTTCTCTCCTTGATTAACAATAATAACAATAATAGATTTGGAGGGGACCTTGGAGGTCATCTAGTCCAACCCCCTGGTCAGGCAGGAAACCCTATACCATTTCATACAAATGGCTGTCCCGTCTCTTTTCTTAAAAACTTCCAGTGTTGGAACATTCACAGCTTCTAGAGGCAGGTCGTTAGTTTCCATCCATTGTTTCTTGTCCTGCCTTCATGTGCTTTGGAGACTAGCCTAACTCCCTCTCCTTTGTGGCAGCCCCTCAAATATTGGAAGACTGCTATCAAGTCACCCCCCCCCCTAGTCCTTCTTTTAACTAGAGTAGACCTAGCCAATTCCTGCAACCAATATTAAATTAATGTTATTAAATTTATTTAATGTTAAATTATTGCAACTAAGCAATAGTCTTATATACCGCTCCATACCGCTCATATAAGGAACGGTTGCTAGAATTGGGTATGTCTAGTTTAACGAAGAGAAGGACAAGGGGGGACATGATAGCAGTTTTCCAATATCTCAGGGGCTGCCATAAAGAAGAGGGAATCAAGCTATTTTCTTTCTTTTTTTTTTATTGAGAATTTTTAAAAGTTTTTACAAATACAAAAAAAGAACAATAACAAACAAACAAACAAAAAAAAACAACCCTCACCCAACCCCTCCCAAACCACCCCTCCATCCCCCCCCCCCGAGCTTCCCAGAGCTGAATATAGGCTTAATTAAAATTTTAAAAAACCTAAACAAATTTTAACAACTTATAAAATAGTTGATAATAAAATATATATGACATAAATATTAAAAAGAAAAAAATACTTAAAAAGAAAAAAAAGAAAAAAGAAAGAAAGAAGAAAAGAAATAGGAAAAAGAAAAAAAAGGAAAAAAGAGAAAACAATCTATAAAATATCAAAAATTATATACAAGTTATAAAAAAGCTAAATGATATTTTTATATCCAATTTATGTTGTATAAAATTTATCCATTTTTCCCATACAGCAAAGAATTTCTCTTGCGATTGCTCCTTTAAAAAAGCCGAAATCTTTGCCATTTCCGCCAGATAGGAAACTTTAAAAAACCACTCTTGCAAGGTAGGCAAAGATTCCTTCTTCCAATATTGCCCTACTAACAGCCTTGCGGCTGTAATCAAATTTAACATCAATATAACCTCCTTAGCATCACAATCAGTAACAATACCTAACAAAAATAATTGCGGAGTAAATTTTACCCTCCTTCTAAAAATTCTTTGAATATTCCACCATATCTTAATCCAAAAAGCGGAATCAAGCTATTTTCCAAAGCACCTGAAGGCAGGACAAGAAGCAATGGGTGGAAACTAATCAAGGAGAGAAGCAACCTAGAACTAAGGAGAAACTTCCTGACAGTGAGAACAATTAATCAGTGGAACAACCTGCCTCCAGAAGTTGTGGATGCTCCAACACTGGAAGTTTTTAAGAAGAGACTGGACAGCCATTTGTCCGAAATGGTGTAGGGTTTCCTAACTGAGCAGGGGGTTGGAATAAATGATCTCCAAGGTCCCTTCCAACTTTACTACTACTATTATTATTATTATAGTGTTTTACAGCCCTTTCTAAGCGGTTTACAGAGTCAGTCTCTGCCCCGCTCCCAACAATCTGGATCGTCATTTTAGTGACCTCAGAAGGATGGAAGGCTGAGTCAACCTTGAGCGGGTGAGGATCGAACGCCAGGCTGTGGGCAAAGTTGGCCTGCAATACTGCATTCTAACCACTGGGCCAGGAGGGCTCTTACATCCTGGCTTTATTTTTATGAATAACCCAAGACAGCGAAGATACCTAATGCTCCTTCCTCCTCCTGTTTTCCCCACAACAGCCCTGTGAGGTGGATTGGGCAGAGAGAGAATGGGGGACTGGCTCAGAGTAAGGACTAGAACTCACCGTCGTCTGCTAATTGGCCCGAATTGCCTAGCCAGCTTTCATGCCTAAGGTGGGACTAGAACTCAGCATCTCCTAGTGATTGGTTGAAAGCCACCCAGCCGGCTTTTGTGCCTAAGGCAGGATTAGAACTCACCGTCTCCTGGTGATTGGTCTAGAGCAGTGCTTCTCAACGTTTGTGTGACGGCGACCCCCGTCACACAAACGTTCTGTGCATGCGCCGGGCCGCGCGCGTGGGGGCAGGCCCCCCACACGCGGCGCGCATGCGCGATGCCCCCCACGCGTGGTGCGCATGCACGGCGCCGCCCCATGCGTGACGTGCATGCGCGGCGGCGCCCCCATGCGCAGTGCGCATGCACGGCGGCGCCCCATGCGCGGCGCGCGTGCACGGCACCGCGAAAAATGGCGGATCGCCGCCTTTGGCGACCCCCGAAAAATGGGCGATCGACCCCAAATGGGGTCGTGACCCATAGGTCGAGAACTGCTGGTCTAGGGTCCCCCAGCTGGTTTTCATGGCTAAGGTGGGACTTGAACTCACAGTCTTAGATCCCTTCCTACAATCCCCTTTAAAGAGAGAAGCATCACATATCTGTAAAGTGGGCGGCCCCCTTTTGAATCAGTGCCTCAGTTGATAACGATCCTTGGGGTCGGGGCGGGGGGAGGAAGAGAATAATGTTGAAAGAAAAGTCTTCACCGGGGTCCAGTCCAAGCTGGGAATAATCAAAATGGCGACTGCTTTAGAAAGAAGGTTGTAGTTTATTGAAGAGGAGAGTCAGACAGAAAGATGGCTCTGGGAAATAGAACTGACCACATGTAGTAGGGAGTGGTGGGTTTTTATACCCTCTTGGGCTTTTGTTTGGAGTTGTTCCTGTGGCATGAACTTTGACCTGAGTCTGAGTGGGCCTTTCTGGTATTCTGATGGTGGTGGGTTAATCCTATTATGTCCCAAGGGCCATATCCTGCTTCCCTGGGGCTGAGGGCTGATGAGTGTCGGATTTTTTTGGTGTGAGGGATTGTTGATTCTAGGGATCTTTCTCTTTCTAATCCCAGCTTCCTGACTCCAATCTTTCTGACAAGATTATAACCTCTGCATTTCTGCAGATCTGGTTTCTATTTGGGACAGAGAGACTTGTGTGGGGGGGGGGGAGGTTGGTTTCTGCCTTTAAGATCCTTTGGGGAAATATAATATTCGGCCTTTTTTAATATTTCCCCAAATATTTCTTTCTCTGGATTCTTCCCACAAGAACTTCCTCCTAGCAAAAATATTCTTAACAACTGTGGGGCAAAGCTCACTTAACAACTGTCTTCCTTAGCAGCGGAAATGTTGGGCTCAATTGTGGTCGTAAGTCGAGGACTACCTGCGTAAGACGTCTAGTTGTCTCTAGTGGCCGTCTCTTAACGTTTCAGCTTCTTTCTTTTACAGCCCCAGTCAAGGACTCTGTTGTGAGCGGAATTGTGTCCTTAAACCTCTGGGACAACGGTGCCAGGAAGAGAGCGAATGTGCTTTGGGAAGCCTCTGCACAGGATCGAGTCCCGCATGTCCAGAGCTCCTACCGAAAGCCAACTTCACCCCCTGCGGCCTCGGCCTCCGCCTGTGTTCGAACGGGGTGAGTCCCGTGGAGGCCGCCCAGAAATGCTAATGTGACCTTTGCATCCAAATGGAGGCTCCAGGCTCAAGAGCAGTCTACCACAGAAAATTTAAGAAGACCGGGGTGGGTGGGGGAAACTGGCTTGACCAGAGAGATAAAGTAAAAAAGAAATAATCCTTTGGAGGTTGATTGCTGTCAGAAACAAGGTGCAATGGAAGGAAAAATTCTTTTTGTCCTGATCAAATAATAATAATAATAATAATAATAATAATAATAATAATAATAATAATAAAGGTTGGAAGGGACCTTGGAGGTCATCTAGTCCAACTCCTGCTCAGGCAGGAAACCCTAACCAGTGGTGGCAAACCTATGGCACAGGTGCCAGAGGCGGCACTCGGAGCCCTCTCTGTGGGCACACGTGCCGTTGCCCCAGCCTTGCCTCCCCCATGACCCCCCTCACCAGCAGCCCCCCTGGAGGAGAGTCGCCCCCGAGCGTGGCCCACGCAGACCAGTGCAGCCAAGGACATGGCAGCCAGGCAGCGTAGACAAGACTCTGCCCTCACGCCCCATTGCGCAGAGTTCATGCTGTGGGGTGCGGGCAGAGGGCATGGCTGCCATGGTGCTGCTGAGTAATCTGCGGCGGGCCCTGGAGGTGATGAGTGGCCCTGCGGGCAGGTGGGGTGGGGACAGAGCAGGGGTGGAGTGGGGGCGGGGCCAGTTTTGGGGCACTCAGTCTCTAAAAGGTTCGCCATCACTGCCCTATACCATTTCAGAAAAATGCCTGTCCAGTCTCTTCTTAAAAACTTCCAGTGTTGGAGCATTCACAGCTTCTGGAGGCAGGTTGTTCCACTGGTTAATTGTTCTAACTGTCAGGAAGTTTCTCCTTAGTTCCAGGTTGCTTCTCTCCTTGATTAGTTTCCATCTGTTGCTTCTTGTCCTGCCTTCAGGCGCTTTGGAGAATAGCTTGACTCCCTCTTCTTTGGGGCAGCCCCTGAGATATTGGAAGACTGCTATCATGTCCCCCCTCGTCCTTCTCTTCGTTAAACTAGACATACCCAATTCCATCAACCGTTCCTTATATGTTTTAGCCTCTAGTCCCCTAATCATCTTTGTTGCTCTTCTCTGTACTCTTTCTAAAGTCTCAACATCTTTTTTACATCGCGGTGACCAAAACTGGATGCAGGATTCCAAGTGTGGCCTTACCAAGGCATTGTAAAATGGTATTAATACTTCAAGCTGGACAGGTAGTCCTCGGGCTTACGACCACAACTGAGCGCCAAAATCTCTGTTGCTGACCCAATCAATTATTAAAGAGAGTGGTGCCTGGTTTTATGAGTTTTTTTGCTGCAGTTGTTATATGAATCGCTGCAGATGTTAAGTGACTCATGCAGTCGTTAAGCGAATCTGGCTCCCCGCCTCCTCCCCCACTGACCTTGCTTGTCTGAAGATGGCTGGGAAGATTACAAATGCTGATCACGTGGTCCCTGGGACACTGTCATAAATACAGGCGGGTTAGCCAAGCGTCCGAATGCTGATCACGTGACCACAGGGATGTTGTGTGAAAAACAGTCATAATCCACTTTTTTCTGTGCCATTGTAAGTTCAGTCACTAAATGAACAGTTGTGAGTTGAGGACTACCTGTATGTATCTTTTCCATCGTTGGATGAATTTGTACCCAGCAATTCCTTAATTTTTTTTCAAAATGTCCACCCTGCAGGGGAAAAATATCCAAGTCTTCCTGTTCAGACTTTCAATGTTGATGCATTAAGCCTTGATATATTTTTGGCAGTTTAGCCAGTGTCATTGTCACGGTTATGATTTAACAGCCAAGCAGCTTATGTAATGATATAAGAAGTAATGATGTAATATAATATAAGGTGGATGATGCAATGATAGGAATGACTCAGCAGGGTCTGTGTCTCTTTAAGAGCAAGCAGGGTCTGTATCCCTTTAAAAGCCTGAGTATAAAAGGGAAGGCTTTGCTGGAGTCTCTCTCTCTCTCTCTCTCTTGTTCGTTTTCCTGCTGTAACTGCTGTATTCTGCTGTACAGAATACGTGTACAGTGATGGGATTCAGCCGGTTTGCACCAGTTCGGTAGAACTAGTAGCTAAATTTTGCTGCATTCAGAGAACTGGCTGGCTTCCAGAAGTCCGGTCTAGGCCTGGGAGGCCTGGAGGAAGATGCCACTTCCGGAAGTCCATTCTAGGCCTCGGAGGACTGGAGAAAGCCTCCCAGGCCTAGAACAGCCCACCGGAAGTGCATGGATGCCACTTCCGGAAGTCCGTTCTAGTCTTCAGAGACCGAAGCCTGCACTGAATAAGAGAACCGGTTGTTCAGATATTTGAATTCCACCACTGCACGTGTATGTATATTGTTCCTAGATATTGTAGATAGTGTATGATAAACCACCATTTAATATAGAGCACTGTTTACTGTATTTACTCCTGGGTTATCTCAGCGTAATAAGACTGTGCACGCTCTGACAGTCATAGTGGTACATTATTTGATACAGGTAATCCTTGACCCAAAGGTGCTTTTTTTCAGGAGGCCACGGGACTTCCTTGTTTTTCCTTGAAGACATTTCGCTTCTCCTCCAAGAAGCTTCTTCAGCTCTGGCTGAATGGTGGGCAATGGAAGGATTTATACTCCTTGCAGACAGCTGGTCATTTGCATTTCTTTAGAGAGTCCTTGAGGCCACTTGGAGGTTTACCTGAGTGGTGCAAATGGGTGTGGAGCTTTCTTGGCTGTAGGATGTTTTCTGCCCTGTGTCCCTGCAGCCAAGAAGGCTCCACACCCATTTGCACTACTCAGGTGACACTGAGGACACAGGTAAACCTCCAAGTGGCAGGCACAGCCACACACCTGTGTGTATTAATGATTCACCTGTGGAGATTGTTACTAGCATCAAATTCCTGGGTGTGCAGTTAACAAGTAGGCTGGTTTGGTCGCTCAACAGCGAGACCCTGGTGAAGCGGGCACAGCAGCGCCTGCATTTCCTACGTCGCATGAGAAAAGCACATCTTCCTTCCCCTGTCCTTATCACTTTCTACAGAGGGACGATCGAGAGCATCCTATCATACAGCATCACAGTCTGGTTTGGAAGCATCCCTGCTTCGGACAGGAAGGCGGTGCAGAGAGTGGTGAGGACAGCAAAAAAGATCATTGGCAGCTCCCTCCCATTCCAGGACATAAGCGTTGTTTGAGGAGGGTCCGTAAGATCATCTGGGACACCACACATCCTCTTCACGCCCTGTTTTCCTTGTTATCTTCTGGGAGGAGGGGGCTTCGTGGTATCCTAAGCAGAACATCCAGATTCAGCCCCCGTTTTGTTCCATACAGTATTAACCTTGTGAACTCTCAAGCTTCCTCCTTCCGTTATATATTCCAGATGGACAATGATTAATATTTATATGTTATTTATATGTAAAGATGTAGGGCTATACATGTTGTATATAGTATGTTTAAATGTGTGTTATATATGTATACTGTTGGAATATTCATGAGCAGGAAGAGTCATGTGGTAACTCAGTCAGCCAATGTGAAGAAAGTGCTACTGAGTCTGTGCAAAAGGTATTGAGTTAGGAGCTGGATTTCCAGTCCCAAGTTTTGTCTCTGGTCTGTCTCTGTAAGAAGTCTTCATTAAGCTATGTTGCTGTGAAGAAGAATGGTATTGTAAATATTTTTATATAAATATAAAGTTATTAGAATCAGCTAAATGCAGTCAACTGTGAGAACTTCTGATTTATTTTTCATCAATAGAGAAATTAAAATTCTCTAACATATACACTTGGAGAGCAAGCAACTAAATTTCATTTTTAATGTGTGCCATTGTGCCCACAGTAAAAAATGACAATAAAGGTTATCTATCTATCTATCTATCTATCTATCTATCTATCTATCTATCTATCTATCTATCTATCTATCTATCTATCTATCTATCTATCCATCCATCCATTCATCCATTCTCTCTCTCTCTCTCTCTCTCTCTCTCTCTGTCTCTCTCTCTTTCTCTCCCCACCTACCTACCTAACTACCTAAACCTCCAAATGGCCTTAATGACTCTCTAAAAGGAGACAAATGACCAGCTGTCTGCAAGGAGTATAAATCTTTCCATTTCCCCACCATCCAGTCAGAGCTGAAGAAGCTTCTTGGATGAGAAGTGAAATGTCCTCAAAGACAAACAAGCGAGTCCAGTTGCCTCCTTGAAAAAGCATGACCTGGATGACTGAGAATCTCCATAGACAGGTAGTCATTGACTTACAACCATAATTGGGCACCAGCATGCCGGTCGTATGTCAAGGCACCCATGACTGGAGCCAATTTTAAGACACGTTTTACAACAGTTAAGTGAATCGTGCAGCTGTAAGGCCGAATCGCACAGTCATTAACCGGTCGTCAATATGATCTGGTAACTTCAAATGGACGTAAGTCGAGGATGACCTGGAAACATCTTTTCTTCTGCCTTTCAGCTCTGCGAAGGGTCCCTCTGCATCCAGCATGGGTTGGAGGAATGTCAGTGTGTCTCTAGTCCTCTGCGAGGAAGATGCGGTCTCTGCTGCCAGCTGCCCGGTCAGTTTCTAACCTCACTCGTGTTCCCAACATTTGAGACTGTCCATGGATGGGGAAAAGAAACCCTCACAACCTTTACTGATTCCATGCTAAACGTCAGGCTCATAGTCCTCGAGTTACAACCGTAATGGAGCCTGCCCAATTATGGTCATTAAATGGTAATGGTGGTAAAATGGGTCGGTCATGTGATCAAGCTGTGTTGCTTTCTAACACTGATGATGTTAGCTAGTTTGGGTCCTGAAACATCCACAACAAAACAACCAAGCTCACAGAGCACCAAGGACCCCACAATCGTCGTCGTCGTCGTCCTCCTCCTCCTCCTCCTCCTCCTCCTCCTCCTCCTCCTCCTCCTCCACCACTCCACAAACCCCATTCCTTTCTAACACTGATGATGTTACCTAGCTGGGTCAGGAAACGTCTGCAAGAAAACACCCATGCGTAGAAAGCACCAAGGACTCCATAGTTCAACCCTGAGCTATGAATATTCTCTTCCTTAATATAAGACTGAAAATTTGCTTCAGTGATCAGTTCTTTCTCACAGTAGCCCAGTGGTTCTCAACCTGTGGGTCGGGACCCCATTTGGAGTCAAACAACCATTTCACGGGGGTCGCCAAACAACGCAGTCCGCCATTTTTTTCCCCTTTTCCTTAGCTGTGCTACTCCCTTTTATTCTATTGGCTTTTGAAAGCCAATAGAATAGACTCTCTTGAATAGAGTCTAATTCTATTGGCTTCAAAAGCCAATAGGAATTGTCCAGGCTGTCTCTGCCCTGCTGAGCCCACCAAAAGTCCCATTCTGCAAACGGTGCTGCACCAGTTGAGTAGTCCTCGACTTACGACCGGTTGAGTAGTCCTCGACTTACGACTGGTTGGGGGTCGCGGCATTAAAAAGGTTGAGAACCACTGCAGTAGCCACTCCGATCCTGAGTCATGTGTTGGTGTTTGCTGCTTTGTGCCAAGATCCTAGGTCGGTTCAGCCATGTGGTGCTTGCCCTGAAGACATCCAATCATAAGCATCCCCAAGATGCTTTTTCACGAGGCAACTGGGTTTTCTTAAAGAAACCCTAAGCATTTATTCTCCTCCCCCCTTCCCTTCCCCTCCCTTCCCCACCCACTGCTTCTCTAGGACAAGCTGCAACCTGTGTCAGCACCTCCTCAAAGATCTGGGACCCTTTCTTCAACGGTTCGGACATCCCGCTCCTGGCGGGCTCACCGTGCGGCGACAAGAACGGCTACTGTGACAAATTCCACATCTGCCGGTTTGTAGATGAGGATGGTCCCATTGCCAGGGTGAAAAACTTCATCCTGGACTTCATCGAAATGGACGACCTGGCCACCTGGATGCAGGTGAGGACACCAGAATAGACCTAGGACAGGGGTCTTCAAACTTGGCCCTTTTATGACTTGTTGTTGTTGTTAATTGCAAAGTCATGTCTGACCCATCGCGACCTCATGGACAACGTTCCTCCAGGTCTTCCTGTCCTCTACCATCTTCTGGAGTCCATTTAAGTTCACACCTATTGCTTCAGTGACTCCATCCAGCCATCTCATTCTCTGCTTTTATGACTGGTGGACTTCAACTCCCAGAATTCCTCAGCCAGGCACACGTGCCTGGCTAAGGAATTCTGGGAGTTGAAGTCCACCAGTCATAAAAGGGCCAAGTTTGAAAACCCCTGGACTAGAATAACAGAGTTGGGAGGGGCCTTGGAGGTCATCTAGTCTAACCTCCTGCTCAGGCAGGAAACCCTATACCATTTCAGACAAATGGCTGTCTAGTGACTCTGTTGTTGTTGTTAATTGCGAAGTCGTGTCCGACCCATCGCGACCCCATGGACAACGTTCCTCCATATCTTCCTGTCCTCTACCATCTTCTGGAGTCCATTTAAATTCACACCTACTGCTTCAGTGACTCCATCCAGCCATCTCATTCTCTGTCGTCCCCTTCTTCTATTGCCCTCAATCTTTCCCAGCATTAGGCCCTTCTCCATTGAGTCCTTCCTTCTCATTAGGTGGCCAAAGTACTTGAGTTTCAACTTCAGGATCTGGCCTTCTAAAGAGCAGTCGGGGTTGATCTCTTCTAGGACTGACCGGTTTGAACGCCTTGCAGTGACTCTAGTCTCTTGTTAAAAACCTCCAGTGTTGGAGCATCCACAGCTTCTGGAGGCAGGTTGTGCCACTGGTTAATTGTTCTAACTGTCAGGAAGTTTCTCCTTAGTTCTAGGTTGCTTCTCTCCTTGCTTAGTTTCCATCCATTGCTTCTTGTCCTGCCTTCAGGTGCTTTGGAGAATAGCTTGACTCCCTCTTCTTTAGGGCAGCCCCTGAGATACTGGAAGACTGCTATCATGTCACCCCTCGTCCTTCTCTTCATTAGACAAGACATACCCAATTCCAGTAACCATTCCTTGTATGTTTTAGCCTCCAGTCCCCTGATCATCTTTGTTGCCCTTCTCTGTACTCTTTCTAGAGTCTCAACATCTTTTTTACATCGTGGTGACCAAAACTAGATGTAGTATTCCAAATGTGGCCTTACCAAGGCCTTGTAAAGTGGTATTAACACTTCATGTCAATACCATTGTCTATTGTGAATGTAGGTTGGAAGGACTTTGAAGAACCTCTATGGAGATTCTCAATCATCCAGATCATTGTTGTCCCAAAAGGCAAAATAACTTTTTTGGTTTTTATTTACTTTTGAAAATATTTCACTTCTAACTACTTGGAAACCACTTCTGGACTTTATGCACGAGGTGGGGAAAAATGAAACTTTGATTTTGTTTTGTTTTTGTTTGAGGTTGTATGTTATTACTGTATTCTATTGCACCCCAAAGAATCAGAAGTCAATCAAAGAATAGAGCTGGAAGGGACCTTGGAGGTCTTCTAGTCCAACCCCCTGCTCAAGTAGGAGACCTTGTACAATACTTCTTTTTCTTTTTCCTTTTACGCTATGTTTTTTCTTTCCTCTTGTCCTTCCCCTAACCCGAGTTTCCTGTTATTCTCATTCTTCTTTGTATTTTCGCGTTTGGTATTTTGATTAAACTCATAAAATTTAAGAAACTGAAAACGCTTTTGCTTCTCACTGAAGAAGCTTCTTCGGTTCTCAAGAACCGAAGAAGCTTCTTGGATGAGAAGCAAAATGTTTTCAAAGGAGAAAAGCCAAGAAAAGTCCAATTGCCTTTTTGGAAAAAGTACTTTTGGGACAATCTTGAAGAATAGAGAGATGCTGCTTAGGGAAACATCAGATAAAAGGAGGAGCCCACAGTTGCTTAATAGTCAGAGGAAGAAACTTAGGAAAGACCCATTTTAGTTGTTGTTGTTAGTTGCGAAGTCGTGTCCGACCCATCGTGACCCCATGGACAACATTCCTCCAGGCCTTCCTGTCCTCTATCATCTTCTGGAGTCCCTTTAAGCTCACGCCTACTGCTTCAGTGACCCAATCCAGCCATCTCATTCTCTGTCGTCCCCTTCTTCTCTTGCCCTCCATCTTTCCCAGCATCAGGTTCTTCTCGGGTGAGTCCTTCCTTCTCATTAGGTGGCCGAAGGACTTGAGTTTCAACTTCAGGATCTGGCCTTCTAAAGAGCAGTTGGGGTTGATCTCCTCTAGGACTGACCGGTTTGATCACCTTGCAGTCCAGGGGACTCGCAGGAGTCTTCTCCAGCACCATAGTTCAAAGGCCTCAATTCTTTTGCACTCAGTCTTTCACAGCCATACATTGCAACTGGGAAAACCATGGCCTGGACTATACGCACTTTTGTTCGCAGGGTGATGTCTCTGCTCTTTAGTATGCTGTCTAGATTTGCCATAGCTTTCCTCCCTTGGAGCAAGTTTCTTCTAATTTCTTGGCTGCAGTCCCCATCTGCGGTGATCTTGGAGCCCAGGAAGATAAAATCTGTTACAACCTCCATTTCTTCCCCATCTATTTGCCAGGAATTGAGAGGGCTGGATGCCATGATCTTGGTTTTCAAGCCCACTTTTGCACTCTCCTTTTTCACCCGCATCCAGAGGCTCTTTAGTTCCTCTTCACTTTTTGCCATTAGAGACACTGGGAGCTTTTGTCCTTGCAGACCTGCAAGATTCTGTCCTTGGAGACTTGCAGTAAAGGGTTAGTTTATATAGTTTATGTCTGGCTTACTGGGAAGGGCCGATAATTGAAGACAAACTTTCAAACTTTTCCACAGTTTAGCTTGGGCAGTCCTCGGCTTACGACAGTTCATTTAGTGACCATTCAAAGTTACAATGGCACTGAAAAAAGGGACTTATGACCATTTTTCACACTTACAACCGTTGCAGCATCCCTCAAAAGTCAGAGGCTTGTCAACTGACTCATATTTATGATGGTGGGAGCGTCCCCAGGGGGTCACAGATGGTTTTGCAACTTTCAGACAAGCAAAGTCAAAGGGGGAAGCCAGATTCACTTAACAGCCCTGTTACTAACATAACAACTGCAGTGATTCGCTTAATAACGGTGGCAAGAAACGTTGTAAAATGGGGCAACACCCACTTAACAAATTGTCTCACTTAGCAATGGAAATTTGGAAATTTCAGTTAATTTTTTTAAAAAAACTGCCCAATAGCTGAAACTGTCTTTTCTTTTTTTTTTTCTTCCTTCCTTCCTTTTTCTTTCTTCTTCCTTTCTTTTTCTTTCTTCTTCCTTCCTTCTTTCCTTCCGTTTTTTCTCTTTTCTTTCCTTCATCTTCCTTCCTTCTTTTTTCTTCTTCCTTCCTTCCTTCCTTTCCTTTCCTTTCCTCTTTCTTTCTTCCCTTTCCCCTTCCTTCCTTCCTTCCTTCCTTCCTTCCTTCCTTCCTTCCTTCCTTCCTTCCTTCCTTCCTTCCTTCCTTCCTTCCTATCTTATTTATTGTATATGCCATCCATTTTGCCAAGATCTGACTCGTCAAGACATCTAGTTTTTGGTATTACTGTCCAAGGACTTCATACTAATTGTGCGCCTGTGTGTTTTTTTTTTTTATACAGACACATTGGTGTGCTATCCTTCTTGTGGTTTTGACCTTAGCAGCCATGATGGCTGGCACAGTTTTCCTCTTTGGAAGAACAGTCAGCAATGAATCAGGTAATTTGGTATGTGTGTTTAGGGGAGGGGGGAAGTGTGTCTACTTTTTAACACACCCAACTTGGCTAGGAAAAGTTTGAACAGTTAGTGCAGAGTTTCTCAACCGTGTCAACTTTAAGAGGTTTGGACTTCAACTCCCAGAATTCTCCAGCCAGCCATGGCCTTTGAACTCCATAAATTCACATGCAGGAACCTTCTTGGGTGAGCATCAAATAGGACTAGACCAGGGGTCTTCAAACTTGGCCCTTTTATGACTTGTAGACTTCAACTCCCAGAATTCCTCAGCCAGCGTTGCAACATTGGCTGAGGAATTCTGGGAGTTGAAGTCCACAAGTCATAAAAGGGCCAAGTTTAAAGACCCCTGCCTTAGACTTACAGAATTAATCCATTTTCTAGGGTCATGCAATAAATCAGGGGTCTTCAAACTTGCCCCTTTTATGACTGGTGGACTTCAACTCCCAGAATTCCTAAGCCGGCATGGTTCAGCTTGGAAACCTTTCCCTTTCCCCTCAGTGTGGCTGGCTCAGGAATTCTGGGAGTTGAAGTCCTTGAGTCATGAAAGGGCCAAGGTTCCCTAGACCTGCTCTAAAGGTACAAACCAGTAGTTCCACCGGATGTAGAGTTAATCTGTAGCAGGGGTAGGCAACCTTGGCTCTTTTATGACTCCTGGACTTCAACTCCCAGAATTCCTGAGCCAGCCACGCTGAGGGGAAAGGAAGAGTTTCTAAGCTGAGCCATGCTGACTCAGGAATTCTGGAAGTTGAAGTCCACGAGTCATAAAAGAGCCAAGGTTGCCTACCCCTATCCTAGGACGAAGATTAAGAGCAGGGGTCTTCAACCTTGGCTCTTTTATGATTTGTGGACTTCAACTCCCAGAATTCCTGACCCAAAATGGCTCAGCTTGGAAACTTCTCCCTTTCCCCTCAGCGTGGCTGGCTGAGGAATTCTGGGAGTTGAAGTCCACCAATCATAAAAGAGCCAAGGTTGCCTACCCCTGGGCTAAGGTATAGAACGCACCCCAGATCGGGGACCTCTGACTCTTGTAAGGTTGCAATTTGCCAAATTTGTGGTCACTTAAGTGCTGGCAGGCCACTGGGGAGATCAGCTGCCGAAGGCCAGTTAACCACAGTCAAGCTGGCAGAAAGTCAAAAGTTGCTCTATTGTCCACTGCTTTTTGGCCTTTGGTTACAGGGAGTCCTCGACTTACGACCACAATGTGAGCCCAGAATTTCTGTGGCTAAGCGAGACGTTTGCCAAAGGAGTTCGGTCCCATTTTACGACTTTTCTCGCCCCATTTGTTAAGCAAATTGCTGCAGTTGCTAAATTATAACCCGGTTGTTAAGTGAATCCAGCTCCCCCCCCCCTTGACTGTGCTTGTCAGAACTTTGCAAAAGATGGTCACATGATCCTGGGTTACTCCAAAGGTCATAAATATGAACCAGTTCTCAAGCATCCAAATCACACGAGCGTGGGGATGGTCATGAAGTGTGACAAGTGGTCATAAGTCACTTCAGTGCTGTTGTAACTTTGGTCACTAAATGAACCGTTGCAAGCCGAGGACTACCTGTGCTCTGTTTCTGTTTAGGCAAGGAAATTATCTCTGAGACAATGAAGCCGGGGGTTGGACTAGATCAGGGTTTTTCAACCTTTTCACCCAGTGTACCACTTTTAGGATACGGCAACATCTGAGTACCACCAGTCGCCTAGCAAGGTATCAAAAACTTGATGACCCAAAAAAAGGGGGGGGGAGTGATAAAGTACAGGTAGTCCTCGACTTACAACAGTTCGCTTAGTGACTGTTCGAAGTTACAATGGCACTGAAAAAAGTGCCCCCCAAGCCACAGCCGAGCAAGACACCTGCCTGCCCGCCCGGTGGCGCTCTTCCTCCTGTCTGAGGTTTCCACTATTGTGAGAATTTCTGTTGAGGATTGGCAGCGGGGCTGGGGTGGGGGATGTTTGGTTTTTATTCTCCCCGTCTGTTGGGTTGTTTTAGCAGGTTTTGGTCACTTCACATGACCCTGGGACACCGTGAGCGTCATAAATGTGAATCAGTTGCCAAGCATCTGAATGTAAATCACAAGACCCTGGAGAGGCTGCAACATTCCAGCTGATGGGCGCTTCTTCTGGGCTGAGCAGAAGCACCAGGATCAGCGCTGAGCTCCAGCTGGAGCCTGGCACTGATCCTGGCGCTTCCGCTGAGCCCTGACAGCCCTGCAGCTCCAGCCGTCTCTCGCTCAGGCTTGTGCAGTGCTGCCACCGGGTTCAGCTCGTTCCCCTCCCCCGCTACCCCTTTTCTAGGATGGTCGCGTACCACCTGCCAGGTGCCAATGTACCACAGGTGGTACCCGTACCACTGGTTGAAAAGCCCTGCCCTAATGACCTCCAAGATCCCTTCCAACCACATTATGTTCTGTGATTCCCAGCAGATGAAAACATCATCAGGATCTCTCGCAAGGCAGGAGCTGTGGAACATCAAGGGAAGAAACAACAGACTTCCTTTCACTGGGAAGAGGAGATTTATATCAAAATGCACCAGAAAAGGCCACGCTCCAGCCCTGGGGAGCTTTGCTAAGCTTCGGACAAGGCGCCTCTGCCCCAACACACACTTGTGGTTGCAGCACAGATAACACCAGCATCCCGCAATCCATCACACCAAAGGGCACGCAAAAAATACAGAGATTTTCTTACTGACATGACCCCTTAATTTTCCTTCCCCCCCTTTTTTTTGGCTTGTTTCTCTTTTTTAAAAATGATTAATTAAAAAAATAACTGTTTACAAAAATTGCTTTGGATGCCTGCTTGTCTATCTATCTATCGTCTTTGTACATCATGGTCATCTTCTCTCAAGGCTAAACCTGCTAGTTCTAATTCCATAACCATGATCTCAAGGTTGGTGTCCACCACAGGCCATCCCTTTGGTGACCACCAACCCCATCTCAGAGCCAACCGCTGATTCCTACCTCCCCGTTCCCAAATCCATAACCCGAATCCTTTGGCAGGTTCTCAGATCCTTAAAAAAAAGGAGCAACTGCCTGTTTTCGCAAACCCACACATTCCAACTTTAATTTGGTAACACGGGGCCCAAGAGATGGGGCCCAACTGCTTCAGCCCGACCTTGAACTGGCTTTGCCAAGTACAGAAATCAAGAGTCAGAACAGTCTGATGAAAAAGGAGGCTGTCCGAGGGCTCTTTTATAACCCTAATTATAAACAGGGTTACTTTCTGCAAAGCTGGACGGAGAGACTTCGGCTGGACGGCAAGAGAACGCAAAGCTGCTCCCGCTGACTTCACTTCACATGTTCCTTGATGTATTTCCATCCTTGCTGTGTGTATTCGCAGCTCTTGGTGGGGGCGATGGAAAGTGCACTTATGACAGTACGGACCCCTGTGGGGAAAAAAAGGATAACCAAAGTGAGAGGAATCAACTACCATGTTTCCCTGAAAGTAAGGCCTAGACCAGTAAGGTGACCAACTTTTTTACAATGAAAAGGAGGACACAAATAAATTGAAGAAAAAAATATCGTAAATAAAAGAAACATTTTATTCATTGCAACAATAATACAGACAGCTTGCAAGTGCAAAGTTTGCCAGCCGGGTGTTTTGGCGCGCTTAGCAGCAATTCCTATTGGCTTTTGAAAGCCAATAGTGGGAATAGCACAGCTCATGCAAAAGTTGAAAAAAAAAACCATCAAAAAAAGGTGCCAGAACGCCATTCTGAGCGTTCTATGAGGGAAAAAAAGCCATGCAGATTAGTCTTCAAATATCGAAAAGGAGGACATGAAGGAGGACACTTTTTGAGGGAGGACAGAACTTACAAAAGGAGGACTGTCCTCCCTAAAGGAGGAAGGTTGGTCACCTTAAGACCAGGGGTAGGCAACCTTGGCCCTTTTATGACTCGTGGACTTCAACTCCCAGAATTCCTGAGCCAGCCATGCTGAGGAGAAAGGGAGAGGTTTCCAAGCTGAGCCATGCTGGCTCAGGAATTCTGGGAGTTGAAGTCCACTAGTCAAAAAAGAGCCAAGGTTGCCTACTCCTGGCCTACACCAACAATAAGCCCTAGCTTGATTTTGGGGGGTGGGCCTAATATATGCCCCACCACCAAAATAAGCCCTAGTTTTGGGGCGAGGCACATCCCTAAAAATCAAGCTAGAGCGGGGGTGTGGGTGTGGAACTGCACCCCGCACCCACTTACCGTTGCAGCTAGGCCTCTCCTTGCCGGCCCAGTTCTTCTAAGGCAATGGTGGCGAACCTATGGCACGGGTGCCAGAGGCGGCACTCGGAGCCTCTCTGTGGGCACGTGCGCCATCGCCCCAGTCCTAGGCCTTCAGCTGGGTTTTATAAAACCTTTTCGCTTTATGCCTCCGTCGCCATGTGCAAAAAAAAAAAAAAGGTTCAATCAATCAATTTCAACTTCTTGCTGGAAAAAAAAAAGATCTTGCAAAGTTGAATTGATTGATTGAACTTTTTAATCCTACCCAGTCTGCCGTTACCACTGCAGCCACGCCCACCCAATGGGCGACACCCCCCAATTTGCCATACCCAGCCAATGGACCACACCCACCCAACACCCGACGATGCATAAGTGGGTCTTGGGTTGCAGTTTGGGCACTCGGTCTCTAAAAGGTTCGCCATCACTGTTCTAAGGCCTCTTCTGCAGCCAGGCCTGCATTTCTCAGTCACAGGGCTTTCCGGAAGGCCTCTGCAACCAAGAAACGAGCTATGGCTTCAATCCATAGCTCGGTTCTGCAAGTCCTCAGCAGCCAAGCACCAAGCTAGGGATTGAATCCATAGCTCAGTACTCGTCTGCAGAGGCCTTCTGGAAAGGCCTGACTGCAAAATGCAGGCCCGAGTGCAGCTGCACAACTTCGGCCCCAGAAGAAGTGGACCAGCTGGTTGGGGCTGTCGGTGCCGGAGGTGAGGTAAGACCTACTCTGAAAATAAAAGTGTCTCTTTTGGAGGGCAAAAAAAAAAAAAAAAAGACCCGGTCTTATTTTCGGGGAAACACAGTATCCCGCTCGTGATTTGCTTTGCTTTGATGCTTAGAAAGGGTAGGATACAGAGAGAAGGAAAAGAATAAAATAGAAATGCATTTATAGCTGCTGTAATGAAGGTTAGAAGCCTTTGTCCCAAAGGTGCTTTTTTATAAGATAAACTTGTTTTTCCTTGAAGACGTTTCACTTCTCCTCCAAGAAGCTTCTTCAGTTCTGAGAGATAAATCTCCAACTGGCCTCAATGACTCTCAGAGACAGTGTTAACCACCAGATGACTGAAAAGGCATATAAATCCTTCCATTCCCCACCATTCAGTCAGAACTGAAGAAGCTCCTTGGAGGAGAAGTGACTTTGTAAAAAACATCTTTAATAATAATTTGTGACTGCGGCAACAGTCCTAAGTGTGAAAAACGATTTAAAAAAATCATTTTTTTCGTTGCTGTTGTAACTTTGAACAGGTACTAAATGAATGGTTTGTTAACTCAAGGAGTACTTATATATGTTTTATTTGGATTAGGAAATTATTTGATATATTGTTGCTGTTATTACGTATTTTTACTTCTGTATCTTTCTTCTTTTGTTAAACTAAAACAAGTGTGATTATATACATACACACACACACACACATACATACATACATATGTAGGTCTTTGGTTATTCGGGTTTTCTCCCATGTCAAATTGGAAGTGTCTTGGCGACGTTTTGACGAAGTCTCATTCGTCATCTTCAGGTTGGTGTTTTCGGCTTCGTGCTTCTAGGAGCACGAAGCCGAAAACAGCAGCCTGAAGATGAGGAATGAGACTTCGTCGAAACGTCGCCAAGACACTTCCAATTTGACGCGGGAGAAAACCCAAATAACCAAAGACCTACATACAAACACCCGCAAAAACCTCAGAAAACACACACACACACACACACACAGATATATATATATATATATATATATATACACACACACATACATACATACATACACATATACATATACATATATATATATTTCTTTTTGCTGACAAGAGTTAAAGATTTAAGTGGGAGACTAGTATAGCTATTTCGGATTCCGAAATAGCTATACTAGTCTCCCACTTAAATCTTTAAATCTTGTCAGCAAAAAGAAATCTGAATTTGTAACGTATCGCAGTTGCAACTTGAGCCTGCTTAACGCCCCTCGTTGGGGGGCTGCAAGGCAAAAGAGATTATAAAAAAGTAGAACTGCAATATAGCAGTCAAAATGCCAAGGTGCAATCAATCAGACCGGTCTGTCTGAAAAACTTTCTGTGTATGTGTATGTGTATATATATTCAAAATTTTGTAGCTGACAAAGTGTTAAAAGGGAGACTAGTATAGCTATTTTGAGTTCTTTAGCTCTCATCAGCTAAAGAGCTCGAAATAGCTATACTAGTCTCCCTTTAGCTCTTTGTCAGCTACAAAATTTTGAATTTACAGTTGTTGCAGTAGTGACGTCTGCCTGCAAAAAATGCTCCTAGACTGGAGCGAAAAGCAGTAGCAGATTGCATTGTCCTACCGTATTTTCCGGCATATAAAACGACTTTCTAAAGCATTCAAATCGGCGCCAAAGTCGGGGGTCTTCTTATACGCCGAGTCGACTTATACGCCGGAAATTACGATAGTTTCCGGTGTATAAGACGACTTTCTAGGCACGCAACTTGGCGCCAAAGTCGGGAGTCGTCTTATACGCCGAGTTGTCCTATACGCCGGAAAATATGGTATATTTGATAGACCGGGTGTTTCACCCTACACACACACATACACACACATTGGTATTGAAGAGAGTTGGAAGTAATTTTTATTATTTATTTTTATTATTTTCGGCATTTCTTTTTTTTTAATGTCACGTTTTAAACTTTCCCTACTGTTCCTCTCCTCTACCTTTCCTCTTTCGTTGAAAGTCTGTCTTTTAACCTTTTTATTTTTTGCAATGCAATAAAGTTCTTTTTAAAAAGCAACATGTCAGAGTTAAGAGGCCGTCACATCTGGTAATTGCTGGCTGGGCTCACACCAAACAAGGTGAACAACAGCAGTGCGGATGTGCGACCACACAACCTTACACCCCTCAGCACTGTTTTCTAGCCATGCTTTTTAATACAGTCCACACGGCTTTCCCACCTTCAGAGAAACCCATTTAGCACCTCCACCCCCAACCCTACTTAACACCCCCACCTCCACCCCGTACCTGAGTTCCAGGCATTGCAGAGAGAAAATTCAGTTTTTGGGACCTCTGGGAGCTAAGAAATGAAAGAGGAAAACATATTGAGACATTTGCCGGAAAAGGGCTAAGTCTGAGCTGAGAGAATGTGGGAGAAGCAAGGGGAAAAAGAACGAAGTCTGACGTAAAACATACCAGCTGCTGGCAAAGATTCCACTATACCAGTGTTTCCCAAACTTGACAATTTTAAGGCATGAGGACTTCAACTCCCAGAATTCCACAGCCAGCAACGCTGGCTGTGGAATTCTGGGAGTTGAAGTCCACATGCCTTAAAATTGTCAAGTTTGGGAAACACTGCACTATACAGGCAATCCTCGGAATTACGAACAGAATGGAGCCGGCCCGTTCCATTCATAAACCGAGGATTCATAGGAGTGAATCGCGTATCATGAACGGGATCACGCCCTGCTTTCGCCCAGGCATTCGCCAATCGAATGCGCAATTTGTTAAGCACACATGAGGTAGCTCAGGGTGGGGAAGTCCATGGGGGGTGGGCTAGTGATAGAACAGGCCCCCAGGATCTCCCCAATACACTGAGATACTTCGTGCTTCCCTACT